CTGATTATCAGAAGTTTGAGATGCTCGAGAATATACTCCGGTGTCCCGTTAGATTTTAGATAGCAAGGAGTTTATTAAACTTCACCGAAACAATCTGCAAATTTCATTAAAATTTTATAAACTATCATCTTGTCTTTATTTTTAGTTAGCACATACCTTAAACACTTAAAGCTGTAAGCTAATGATATATAAAAGCAGATGCATGCTTGTGCAGTAAGCTGTACGTTTTATGTACAATGGATGCATCATCTGAGTAGTCGACTAATCGCAGAAATAATCGGTGACTAGTCGACTATCAAAATAATCGTTTGTGGCAGCCCTAATATCCATCAAGATCTTTACAACCAACAACATAAAATTTATCTTAATTGGATAGCCTAATTCAAATAAATAACCCCTAAAGCCCTGCCTGATGAGAAACCTGACGCAGGGTCATTTGCATACTAACAGTGATTGGATGTTTAGCTCGGGGGAGGGTGAGTGCTGTGTGAGCCTGTGCACAAACAGAGCATGGAGGGAAAGAGCGAACGAGAGGTGAAACCTATAATCTCATGTGTGTCTTTTCCAGTGGATTTTTCAACTACTGTAGTAAATCTTGTCCACGTTCAGTTTGTGGGTAATCTATTAATTTCTTTCTCAACTTCTAAAAGAAAACAGATTAACCTGATTTTTAGATACTAACAGTCTCTTCTCTGGGGATCAGAATGGGTTTCATAAAGAAAGGGATGATGGATAGTTTATTATGTTTGGAATCAGAAATCAGGAAAGCTCAAACAAATAAGGAAATGATGATAGCTGTCTTCTTTAATACAGGCATACAACATGTTATGGAAAACATTAAACCCAGAAATCTAGGCATAAATGGAAAATTGTACTATTGAATTATAAGACTGATGAAAGAATATAGATGTCTTCCCTGCTATTCTCCTGTTCACACTCCAGTCCAGAAGGTGGGATAAATGCATCTGTAAGCTGATATGTCAAACGCCATCAACCCCCAAAGAAGAAGGGAGGAGGACAGCACTACTGTGGTAGAGGAGCAGTGTGTTTGCAGACATAGCTGCTGCTGATGAAGCGGACTGAACCTAGAGAAGAGACAGAAGCTAAAGTATTGATCCCGTCAAGTTAGTGTGGATCTGATACCAATATTAACATCTGTGTCACTTCTGTTGATGCTTGTATTGATCCGCCCAGCCTCAGTTGAAGCAGCAATGAGTTCAGTACAGTATCTGAGAGAGTTCATCAAGGAGAGACTAACTGCTGTTTGTGAAGAAATCTTCTCAGAGGTTCAAAAAACCATCATCCAGTATGAGGAGGAGATCAACTGTCTACGCAGACAGGATATCAACCGGAAACCTGACAGAAACTCACACATCATAGGTATGGACATGTTTTTAACAATGTGCTGTTGAAGCTGAGATTCTTCAGTGTGATTAGCTTTACTAGAATATGTTAAACTGGGTATCCTTCTCTCACCCCAATCCGTCGCAGCAGATGGCCCGCCCCTCCCTGAGTCTGGTTCTGCTTGCGGTTTCTTCCTGTTAAAAGGGAGTTTTTCCTTCCCACTGTCGCTAAAGTGCTCGCTCATAGGGGGTCATATGATTGTTGGGTTTTTCTCTGTATTTGTTATTGTAGAAGCTACTGTACAATATAAAGCGCCTTGAGGTGACTGTTGTTGTGATTTGGCGCTATATAAATAAATTAATTGAATTTATCAGTGCTGTAGTTCAATGTTCAGTGATGGACTATGTTGAACTGGTGCAGGTCGATGGTCACTGATAGGTTAGGTTTTAATACATTTTAATTCATTTATTTATTAAACTTTTTTCTCTAACAGATTCCAATGTTGAATACATCAGGCGTTAGTGTTTTAGATCATCTGTAAACACTGAGACTGTGCAGTAAAATATAGTTAGATGTCAGCGGAGTACACATTTAACAAGTTGTTAACAGCCTTCTCTGAAGTTGAAGTGAAGCTTCATTTAAAAAAGGATTTTACACACTGATGTTTTCATGGTGGTCACATTGCATTTTAGTTTGGTGACCTTTGTGTCTTTGCTCACAGTGAGGATCCTTGCTGTGAGTGTGCACAACTATTTCCCTGAGCTTTTGTGTGTGTGTGTGTGTGTGGCTCATGATGGGTCATATGATAGGCTGATCACCATTTCTTGGGTTTTGATTCATGCTTTTAAAAATATTAGTTTTTATATCACTAAATATAAAAAATATATAGTTTTTGTATCACACATTGTCACATCTTGTGTTTCTTTATTCCTCAAGACCTCCCAAAACAACATGACTGTAAGGAAGAGGAGGATCTGGATGAGCAGCAGGTCTGTAACCAGGAGAGGAACTCCAGTCTGGACCAAGAGGACCCAGAGACTCCACAGATTAAAGAGGAAAAGGAGGAACTTGGCAACAGTCAGAAGGGAGAGCAGCTTGGGCTGAAGCAGGAGGCTGAAGGCATTATTGTCTGGACTGATAAAAAGCAGCTCAGACTGCTGGAGACCATTTGGAAACCTGTGATAAAGTTACACAGAATAGGTATGTAAAACTGTGTTGATTTAATAAAAGTGAATATAACTCACAGACAGCAGAGTGGACCAGTGGTTAGCACTGTTGCCTCACAGCAACAAGGTCCTGAGTTTGACTCTACCAAGTAGCCAAGCCTTTCTGTGTGGAGTTTGCATGTTCTCCCCTTGTTCACTCTCCAGAGACATACAGACAGCCGGGTTAGGTTAGTTGGTGATTTTAAATTGCTCATAGGTGTGAATGTGAGTGTGAATAGTTGTCTGTGTTTCTGTGTTGACCCTCCGACAGGCTGATGAACTGTCAGAGAACTGAAGGTCAAAAAGTAATAAGCAACATGAATGAATCTCTTCAGCCTGATTTTCTGTTCTTTACTTAAACACATTTCCACCATTAACTTGTGCAAAACGGTGAAAATTAGTACGTAAAAATTCACCAGAATGAAAGACGTGAAACATCTGGGTTTCAAATTTCTACTCACTGGTCAGACAAAATCTACACAGAGACACAAAGTCAACAACACAAGTTTCATTTTGTTCTGTTATCAGTTTAAGTTAAAGAATTGTGTTTCCTCTGCAGCATGGAAATGGTAAATTTGAACAGTTTACAGGTCTGGGTAATATGAATAAATATTTCTATTCTGTTTTGGAAAATATGGAATTCAGAGTTTCTAAAGTTAAATTTGTTAGACAAGAAGTGTGTCTTCATGGCATTTCAAGCACAGCAAAAACGTTTACTACTGTGTAAGAGAGCTCTTCCCCAGCATGCCTTCTTGTAACTGTAGCCAATTCAGACATCCACATTCATTTAACAAAAAACAACAACATCTATTTATTTTATATATCAAAGACATAACAAGCTGAACTTTGAACTTTGCTAATAAGAGTGTCAGAACTAAACATTTGCATCAGTGCCCAAATAGTTTGTCACGTTTGTACACTTTAATTTCAGTGGTATATGTGAGCAACAGGCTCACTATGTAGAGACCTGCTAATGGTTCAGACCAGTAAATATTTTCTCAAATGTTTGTTTTACTATCATCTTTTCCCCTTTGTGTATTCAGATGCCCTACAGCAGCATGCTTTTGAGGAAGAGGAGATTCTTACAGACCAGCACGTCTTTAACCAGGAGAGGAACTCCAGTCTGGACCAGGAGAAACCAGAGAATCCACAGATTAAAGAGGACCAGGAGGAACTCTGCAGCAATCAGAAGGGAGAGCAGCTTGGACTGAAGCAGGACGCTGATACCTTCATGGTGACACCCGCTTATCAGGAAAGTGCCTACAGTAAACCAGAACCAAACAGTGAGCAGCTCCTTTCTCACAGCTCTCCTGAAGCAGAGACCCGAGATAATGAAGAAAGTCAGCATGTGGACTCAGGAACTACTAGAAATACAGAGCTGAATAAGAGACGTCACAGTCAGAGAGTAGACAACCTTACTGTGTCATCGAGTAAAAGTAGAACGGACACAAAGAACAAGTCTGTACAATGTGAAGTGTGTGGAAAAACTTTACAGGATAAATACAATATGATTACACATCTAAGAGTTCACACAGATGAAAAGCCGTATTCCTGTAGCACCTGTGGGAAAAGATTTGCTGACTTATCAACATTCAAAAAACACAAGAGAATTCACAAAGGTGAGAAGCCGTATTCTTGTGACACTTGTGGGAAAACATTTGCTACTTCATTAGAAGTCAAAAAACACATGAAAAGTCACACAGGTGAGAAGCCGTATTCTTGTAG